TGCAAGAGGCCGTCGCAGCTGAAAACTGAGCTCGTAAGGGCTAGGTGCAGCTCTTCTGAGCTCCATTTTTGCTAGCAGAGAGTTGCAGAATGCCATTGCAGCCTAAATGGAATTCAGGAGTTTGTTTTCGCTGGCGCCAGCCTGACACGAGTGGTCAAGCTGGTCACACCCACCCTGATCAGCCCCCCCCCCCCAAGTCAAACACAACTCTGATGCGACCCTCAATGAAATAGTTTGACACCCCTGCTCTATCAGAATTATGCCAGCTGGGTTTTGGTTTATGATTATACATCAGCTGAGATTCTAGTGGAGGTGAATGGAGAGGGAGTTGCCATCTCTGTTTTACAGATTTAGGTTTTGTTGATTAAAATTGGGCACTAGAGAACAGTTGGGATTGTTTTGGGTACTTTCCTTCATGGTACCCAGCATCATCCTTGTCTGAGCTGCTGGATTCCATTGCCTAACTGGCAATAAAATCTTCTGAGGTTGTTGGTACTTGAATATTTCAAGTAGCCAAAACAGATAAAGCAGGCATATTCCAGCCACTTTCCTTTAATGTTGCTATCTAGTGGGATCTAGGAAGCATGTCCTTTTTATGACGGTCCCTGTTCTGTAGAACACCCTTGCTCTTTAGTCTTTGTTTTAACCTTCTGGAAAGCTGTAAACAGCTGTAAAAAGTTGACTCTTTTGCAAATATTTTATAAAATGTTTTTGGATTAGTTTTATTGTATCCTTATTTATTGATTGGTTTTATGTTATTCTTTACTTTGTGAGCTATTCAGCCAACTAAAATCAGCATGGAAATACCAAATAAATAAATAAATGAACAAAACATCTGCATCTGTTAAGCCACAGTTAAATAATCATTACCTCCAAGTTCTTTTCTAGTAAGTGCAGGACTCTTACTCCCTTAGGAGTAAGAGATAAAGGCAGCAGTAAAAAAGTATTAATTGAAAAAAAGGATTAGAAAGAAATTAAGAATCATAGTAAACAAATTTATTATTGTACATTATATGGGAGCTTCAGGCTCATAATGTGTAATGACAATAATTATAATAGAGCACTCCTGTATATAGATAATCCAAAGCAGCTATCCTACAGAAAGCTAAGAGGTCTTGCTAAATTATGTTAAAATAATAATGTGGTTACAAAGAGAATTTAGGATAGAACAAAATGTGGAGATCCAATGTGAGTCAGTTACTGGGAAATGTGAAGAATATTAATTATAATTGGGTTTGAATCAATAGAAATCATGGTTGTAACTGTTTCAACAAAGCATAGTTAATACTAAATCATCGGAATTGACAGGATATGGGTAAACCATTAAGTAATAACAGAAGCAATTCTGAAGTATTTCTAAAACGGAAGCAAAAAGGTAAGAGGGTAAATATACAAGCCTGAGAGTCATCTGTTTTTCCCATGTCAAACCAAAGTCAAAAAACCTGTAGTCTTTTAGCTGTTAATGAGTATCATGACCCCAAACCAGCATATCCAATAATCAGTTATGAATGGAACACCAACAGCTGGAAGACTACACATTTCCAAGCACTATGCTGAATTATGATTCAGCATATCTAAATGTGATGGATAATAAACTTATGTTATCTAAAAATAACAGAAAAATCTTATGATTATACTGTTTACATGTTTTATTCTGTTACCTGATGGAGGAGGGGGTCTTTGAGGTGGAGCAGGGCGAGGAGGAGGCACTCCTGGTCGAGGTGGAGGTGGGCGTTTTGGTTCCAAGCCTTGAGTAGACTCTTTTAGTTGCGTTATAGATTGAAAATCTGCTGGTGAATGTGAAAATATATAAAGGGATAGTTCAAAGAGCAAATAATGCTATCACTATATTAGTGTGTGTATTATTGGAAGCAGTTCAAGGATTATATCTTAATTTCACATTTTTGAGATGTTTGGAGAGCAGAAACCAGAAGAGGCTAATATATGTATATGTATGTGCTCGCACATAGATACCCACACCCTAATCACAGAACTAAACTGGCACCAATAAAAGTAAATATGTTAAGGTGCTTTGGCCTCAATAAAGATCAGGCTGGCTCCCTCCTTGCTGGCCTTCTGGAAAACTTAACTCCTTGGAGGGGAGGGTCTTTTCTTATGTTTATACCTGAGGCCATCTTGTTTTCTAGTTGCTTTGTGCATTTTTCTTTTCCTTTCATATTTTATTCTTTGTGTTTTTGAATTGGACTTTATGTACAGTGAATATATTGTAAAACATCTATACACCCATGTTAAAACACCAGGTTTTTGAGATGTAAAAAAAAATCAGACCAAGATGACTTCAGAATTTTTCCCACCTTTAACATAACATTTAAGCTATATAATTCAATTGAAAAACAAACTGAAATCTTTTAGAGAGGAAAACAAAAAAAAAGTACAATAACATGATTGAATAAGTGTGCACATTCAAACTAATATTTGTTGAAACCCCTTTTTGATTTTATGACAGCATTCAGTCTTTTGGGGCAGGAGCCTAACAGCATGGTACAGTACATGCAGCCTTAGGAATCTCTGCCCACTCTTCCTTGCACAAACACTCCAAATCTGTTAGACTGTGTGGGCATTTCCTGTGCACAGCTCTCTTCAGGTAATCCCACAGATTTTCAATTGGATTCAGGTTTGGGCTCTGGCTGACTGATTGGGCTCCTTTCAAAACTTTGAGCCGTGGTGGAGTAGTGGTTAGAATGCAGTACTGCAGGCTAATTCTGCTGACTGCAGTTCAGCAGTTCAATTCTCAGTGGCTCAAGGTTGACTCAGCCTTTCATCCTTCCAAGGTTGGTAAAATGAGGACACAAATTGTTTGGGGTGATATCAGTGGTGGGTTGCAGGCGGTACACCCGGGTACAGGCGTACTGGAGCCTGCCCGGAGCACCGGGTACCATTCCAGTATGGTGCTCCGGAGGGCCCACCCACCCGCCCAAGCTCCTTACCTGTCCTTTAAAGCCTTCGGCGCTTCTGCACATGGTGTGTACAGCGCCTGCGCAACACTCTGCCGAGCAGCTGGAGCATCACGGAGGACAGAGCGTACTGCCAGTACACTGATAGTACAACACATCTGCGCGCCACGCATGTATGCGCGCACCATGCGTCTTCATATGGAGGATGCCGGGCCCCATTGCAACCGTACCGGTTGCAACGAGATCCAGAACCCACCACTGGGTGATCTGCTGACTCTGTAAACCACTTAGAGAGAGAGATATGTAAAGCACTGTGAAGCAGTATATAAGTCTAAGTACTATTGTTATTGCTGTCTTCTTTTGGTGAAGTCATTATTTTGTTCATTTGGAAGTTTGCTTTGGATCATTATCATGTTGAAATGTGGAATTCCTTATCTTCAGAATTTTAGTAGAGACCTGAAGATTTTGTGCCAAATTTAAATGATATTTGGAACTGTTCATAATTTCTCTTACCCTGGACTATAGCCCTAGTGATTGCTGAAGAAAAGCAACCCCAAAGAATAATGCTACCACCACTTTTCACAGTGGTTATGGTGTACTTTTGATGATGCACAGTGTTGTTTTTGTGCCAAAGATAGTTTTCAGAATTATGGCCAAAAAATTCAACCTTAGTCTTATCAGACAGATTTTCCCACATGCTTTTGTCAGTCTTGATGTAGGTTTTGCAGAATGTAAGTGGGCTTACATGTTTTCTTGGTAAGAAAATGCTTCTGTCTTGCCCAGACGAACATGAAGAACATGGGTGATTATTGTCACTTGTAGTATACCACCAGTTCTTGCCCAGAAATTCCTGCAGCTCCTTTAATGCTGTAGGCCTTCTTGGACTAGTTTTCATCTTGTTTTTTCAGCAGTTTGGAGGAACATCCAGCTCTTGTTAATGTCACTGCTATGCCATATTTTCTCTACGATGACCGTCTTCACTGTATTCCAAGCTATATCCAATACTTTGGAATTTTTTTGTACCCTTCTCCGGACTGATGCCTTCCAACAATGAGATCCCTTTGACGCTTTGTAAGCTGTTTGAAGACCATGACTTTTGCTGTAAGAGGCAGCTGTGTAACTGTCAGAAAAATCCTACTAGAACTTTATATGGACTTGATCAGAGTTACTTTAATTGATGACAGGTACGTACTGATTACTATTTAACACTAGTTTGTATGTGATATGTCAATTCTGAACACAGCCACATCCTTACTTATAAGAGGATGTGCACACTTATGCAACCATGTTATTATACATTTTTTTTTATTTCCCCCCCCTAAAAGAACTTAGTTTGTTTTTCAATTGAATTGTATAGCTTCTATATTATACTAAACCTGGAAATTCGTTTGAAGTTATTTATCTTGATCTGATTTTTTTTCTTACATCTCAAAAAACTGGCATTTTAACAGTGGTGTATAGACTTTCTATATCCACTATAGTTAATGATGGTGCCTTTGATTGTGACAGTATAGAGGTTTGATTAATAAATAAATTTCTACCTTGAGAAGACACTGGAGGTCCAGGAGTCTTATTAGGTGTCCTGCTTGGCCTTGATGGAAGAGTTGGAGGCATACCCTCAGATGGAGTAGGGGACTGGCAAGGGCTTGAATGAGGGGAAGAGGCAGGTGAGGCTCCAAGACAAGAGCCTGAAGCTAGCTGTAGATGTTGTGGGAGAATTTCTTCTACTTCAGTACTATAATCATCAACATCACCTTGAAATGAAGAAAAATATTGCTATAAATTGTATCACAGTTAATATAAAATGAAAACTATTATGCAGAAATATTACACTTTAATATGTAGTTTCAATCAAAGTTTAAAATGTAGATACATTCAGATTTCATTTATTTTAATGTCATTGTTGTGGTTCGCCAGTGGACTGTGGAGCTGGCAGCAGAGTCGGACAGCAAGGAGGTTACGGAGGAACATGGGCTAGTCCTGGAGTCTGGAGAAGGCTTGGACGAGGGCTCTGCATCAGAGGCAGAGAGGGGGCCAGGGCCATCTGGGAGTTATGTACTGCCTCTGCAGAGTTGGACAGCAATAAGGCAGAGAAATAGGTTCCGTGTTCCCAGTGCACGCATACGCAGAGCTTTCAGAAGGCAAGGACAATTAAAACAGAAGGCACGACTCAGGAGTAAAGTTTGGAGGTGACTGGCCGTCCCATAGAACATAAAGGAGGAGCAAAGGCACATGAGCCTTTGCAGGAAGCAACTTGGTTCATGCTGGTCAGTTTCCCTTCTGAAACTCTGTTTAGACTCTTTGCTCAGTGTGGCCTTGCCAAGCTGATTGCTAATTGGGTCTTTAGCAGCATTTTCAAAGAAGATAAAGGTGGGTGCTTATCAGCCTTATTCTGAAGGACTTTGGCAGCCTCCTGTAGAACTCTTTCCAACTATTTGGAACTCATTATCGGCTGTGAATGAATATAATTCACATCCTTTGAAATAAAAAGAGGGTTTTGGACCTAATCGTGTGCTTTTTATTGTATCAGGAAACCTAGGTCAGAAGAGTCATATAATGCAATGTAATTTATTTTAATTTATTTATTTAGGCACGTCTCAACTCCAAACTGACAAAATAAATATTAACAGTTATATAAAAATAAAAATAAACAAACAAGAACTGGTGATGGATCAAGTTAAGCTAAGCCTCATACAATTTGACAGGGACCCCAGCCACCCAAATCCAAAACCTGGGACGACAGGTGTTTCAACTTTTCGGAAACGTTAGCACAGTGGAAACCATGTAGATATTAGCAAACTTATTGCTAATTAAATTATTGGAACCCTGACATCTTGACGATAAACAGGAGCTTAACTATTATATATTCCTCAGTATTCTATTTGAAATTTAGGTACACTTTAACATCTCATTCTGGTAAATATGTGCCAAATAAAAGTTAATAATTTCATATAAATTGGCTAACTTGGTCCCATACAGAATCAATAAGGTAAATTTAGAAAAGATTTTGTTGATAGACAAATTTAGGAACCAAATAAGGGAATGTGGTATTAACAGATGAGAAAAATAGTTTTTATTCTTATCCTAAAATTCAATAAATTTAATAGATTCAACTGTGATGTGTTGTATATTAGTAACATGAGCTGTAAAATAGCACCCACTGAACAGAATCAATCTTGAATCTAGCAAACCTTCCATATCGTAGTCTGCAGTAACTTCTGCATCTTCACAAAGCAAAGTAGAACTTGTTGATGAAGGCAGCCCAATATTAACTCTCTCCAAACTAATTTCATCTTCTAAACTTTTAATCCAATCAGGGTTTTTCAAAGAAATGTTAGCAGTTTTCCCAAGAACCTGAATTTCAACCAGAAAGAATAGTTCACACAATTTCTTTTTAAAAAATCAAATCAACCCCTCCTCCCCACAAACCAAAACTTCTTTACACGGTAATTAGAGAGAAAAGAACAAACATGATCATTTGAAAAAATTAATCTAGAAATAGGAACATCTGCAGAACTGTGCCAAATGATATCATGACCCACATGATATTCTGTCCCTTTTTGTTTGTCATGACTTCCCTCACAAGTAGAATTTTGTATGATACAATACAGATAGTCCTTGACTTACAACCGCAATTGAGACTAAAATTTCTGTTTCTAAGTGAGACAGTTGTTAAGTGAGTTTTGCCCCATTTTACAACCTTTCTTATCACAGTTGTTAAGTGAATCACTGCAGTTGTTAAATTAGCAAGAGAGTTGTAAAGTGAATTTGGTTTCTCCATTGAATTTGCTTGTCAGATGGTCACAAAAAGGTGATCACATAAGAGCCAAGGTGGCGCAGTGGTTAAATGCAGCACTGCAGGCTACTGCTAGATCAGCAGTTCAGCGGTTCAAATCTCACCGGCTCAGGGT